TTGTAAAAGCTGTCCGACCCGAAAACCCGACCCGACCCGAAAATATATATAATAATATTAATATCTTAAATAGTTAGTATAATTTATAATATTAATTATAAAATCATATTATTTAATATTTATCACATTTTAGGATTAAAATGTCAATCATATTAACATGTCATGTCATTATTATTTTATAAACCTAACAACCGGATACCAAACTATTTTATTACTAAATTGTGTTTCTCGTAAATTACAAGATAAGACATATTTTATGTAAGTTTTATTTATTATTTAACTAGCCTATACATTGTCTTTTTTAACATTTGTTTTAACCCTTCACTACAAAGGTAGAAAAAACTCCCTTAACTACAAAGGTGGGGTCTATTTTACCCCAAATTTTGATTAGATATATCTCAAAACATATTAAAAATTGAGATCTAAAATTTTGAGTATATATTTAAAAAATATTGGAGATAATAAATACAAAATCTTAGATTAATATTTACTTCCAAAAAAAAGTTAGACAAATTTTCCTAAAATTACTGAAATAAAATTTTCTTTTTCAGTACTTCCTTTAATTATTTTATTATCACTAAATAAAATTCAAATTTTATTAAATCAATGTTGAATAATGATAATTACATAAATTTTATAAAAAAATATCATATATCAAAAAAAATATTAATCATCAAATATGTAAAATTATTAAAAAATAATAATGTAAATATATATCTTAATATTATTATTGAATATTTTTTTCTTAAGAAACTACAGAGGTGGTAGATACGTTTTTGGACTTCTCTCTATGGGAGGCTGACAATGCGTATTCTGAGGCTAGCGCCGAAGTTGACGAGCTAAAAAAATATCTAGATCCGAAATTATGTGTTGATGACGATAATATTTTAAAATGGTGGAAAACAAACCATTATGAGTTTCCAAATTTAAGTATTTTAGCTCTTAAATTCCTGGCTATCCCTGCTTCGTCGGCTAGCAGTGAAAGGGCGTTTTCAGCTGCTGGTAGGGCCTTTGAGGAGAGAAGGAATCGTTTAAAGTCAGATAAACTGGACGCCTCTTTATTTATATATCATAATTATTCACTTTGTGATAATTTTGATAATGATATTGATGAGGTCAATATATAATATAATATGTTCATTATATTTTTTATATATTTATTAACTTTTACATCATATCTATATTCGCATAAATGATGCTTATTATATAATCGTTATAATTTTTAAATTCGCTTGTATATTAATCGTTTTATAATATTTTTTACAAATTTTAAAAATGCAACTTAATATATATCTTGAATAGATTATGGCCGTCAAATAAACTTTTATTTAAGGTGGCTGAACTGAATAAATACACATAAATTTTTTTTTGGTTATTATAATATTAAAACTTAAATTGCAAAATTTTATTCGGGTCGGGCTCGGGTCGAATTAAAAAATGTGTGCTCGGGCTCGGATCGGGCTCGGACAAAAAAAAATTTAAAATTCGGGCTCGGGTCGGGCTCGGGTTGCGAAAAAATTACTTTGCAGTTCTCTAATAATAATTAACGTGTAATAAAAATAACACTATTTTTTTTAAAGTAGTAATGTGCTAAAAATAATAGGAATTTTTTCAATGTGATATGATAAAAATTTTTTTATAATTGACGCTTCGTCACTGGTGTTAACTCATATTTTCAGCATAGTCTTATGAAAATATTGTATTTTCTGATACCACACTAGCATTACTACTATTTATTACCCACCAGTTATACCACCATATATTCACAACTATTTCCAAATCCCGTTATTAGTAATGGGTGAGCCAGTTAGTCTTATTTAGACATGTGCGGCGCCGCCGGTAATTTTTGACCACGCCGACGCCAAAAAGTGTCGGCGCTCAACACGCCGCCGCCGATTAATATTTATTTTATATATTATTTATGAATTGTAACTAGAAGAAAAATAATATAAAATATTTTTTGAATTGTTAAAATGTGATTTTATTTTTTTAAATCAATAAATATTATTTGCTATAAATTTGAATTGTAACAATCCATATAATACACGTTGGCTCACTTTGTGCAGGTCTGTGACCAACGTGCTAGATAAGATAAGATTAGGATAGTAAAACAGAAAAAATATTGATATTATTATATATTTTATTATTTTAATTGTTAAAATATTTAATTATTTTATAATAGAATATTTAAATAAAACTGATCTCATCCCACATTTAATATTTTTTATGGCATAATATTTTTATTATTAACTTTTTATTATGTAGAAATATAGCATTATTAAAGATTTACCAGATAGAAAAACACTTAGCCGGAGTGGATTAGATGATGTGTATTTATCAATAAAAGCATACATAGGTCAACAAATTAATACATTCATCTATTCATAACAATAATCTGAAACAACAAGACTATTTAACTTAAAGAGTGTTATTCATTATTTTCGCCTTATAATTTAGAGATAAAATATTTCTTAGAGTTATGGAAGATAAGAACATTGGGTCTTCCTAAACTTTCAATATTAGCTAGAAAGGTCCTGTGTGTTTCAGCTATGAGCACACCCAGCGAGCGTGTATTTTTCATAGCTGGGCTCACTCTGAACTCTAAAAGATCATTATTATGTCCTATAAATCTAAATATTATATATGATAATTTTAACTTAATAAAAAAATTTGAGTTAGAAAAATATTTGACATCAAAGCGCCGCCGCCAGCCGATCATTTTAAAAAAAGAAACGCCGCCGCGGATAATGCTGTCGGCGCACATGTCTAGTCTTATTATATTATCCATGAATATATTATATAATAGGTATAAAATTATATGGAAGTAAATACCTGAATATTTTTTATCTGTGCTTACAAATAATATTCCATTAATAGTAAGCGTAGTTTAATAAACTAATATGTCGAATAAAAATATTTTCTACATTATCCCTATAAATTTAAACAATATTTAAAAAATTTATAAATATAATATTTAAAGGAACTGTATCTGTTTTTAGATTTTAACGCTTTTTTATATTATAAATAAAAATAGTTGAATGCCAAATTTATTTTATTTCATATGAGTATATAAATTAAATATATATATTAAAAAATATTAAAACTACTATAATAAAAAATTATATATATATATATATAAATAAAATATTATGTCCGATTTTACCAATAACCTATACAAATTTTGTTACAATGCAACTCAAGGAATCTGCCATTTTTATTTTCAATGGAATTAATTAATTTTATTTTATTATACTAAAAAATTTATATTACATTAGTATTAATAGTGATGAAAAGAAAGAGGAAAAAATCATAATCAATGAAGCATCAACAAGTTCAGACATGTTTTTCCATGGCCAATTTATAGAGTATATTTTAAAATAACATCATACAAAGATTAGTTGATGAATTATCAATGTTTACAACTGATTGAAAACAAATAACCTTGAAAAAAAAACAAATAAATATCCGATTTTTTCAGTACCTCATAGTAGTAGATATGATTGTTATGTCTTTACAGAAAAACGAGGATGCCTTAATGACCAAAATTTTGAAAATATTTTATTACTATCTAATAATTATTTATAATCATTTAATCTTATATTTTCATATATATGATTATATAAAAATCCAAAAATAATTATTTTAGTTATATTCAGATAAATGTGATATCGCGTCAATATATTTTTTTTAGCTCATTTCATGCATTTTCATAATAGAATCCTAATTTAGGTTTATGCAGAGCTTATAAAAGTAGAATAAAAATTGTATATGTATCTAAATACATTTTAAAAATTGGATCTATAACAAGATAACTTTTTGGATGATGTATCTGTATCTAGATAACTTTTTAGTCGATGTATCTGTATCCAGATCCATCTAAAAAGTACTTTTAACAACTCTGATTTTTATATTCAAATAATCTTATTTTATTTTTATATAAATTGGTATAGTATAAATTTTATAAAGAAAACATTTGTATATATTTGTCCAATATAATATAGAAAATATTTGATATAATAAAAATATAAATAAATAATTATCAAATATCATGGTTTAATAAAATAGCATTGTATCTATCAGCCACTTTAACAAACAATAATCCCTTAACTAGGTTTAGATATTGTATGCCTAACTACTATATGCCATTTAAGGGAAATAACTTTTTATACTAAATTTTATTGTAGAGTTCAAAAACGCCGTATACTAATTTTATATAAAAAACTATAACTAAAATACTAACTTAAAAAAAAAGAAGAGAGACTACCTCTTCATCTTTACGAGAATAATATTGACAGCAGACTACAATTCCTTAATCCCAAATCTCAAAGGTTATGGATATTTGCATAAATATGCATTTAAAAAAAATAAATATATCTGAATATTTAAAAACTATTCAAATATTAGAGGATATAGAATAAAAATTATTTGAATATCGTCATGAATTGTGGTGTATTTATTAATTTATCTCAGAAATCTTTATAATAGCTGAAGTTAAAAATTGCTTTAATTTAAATTATAAGATATAATTTCATTACATAACCTATATTTATAAAAATCTAGATATACCTAATTAGTGATGTTAAACGGCACTATTTGGTTTGACTGTAAAATGGCACAAATACGGATATTCTTAAAATATATTATATAAGCCTCGAGATTTAGAAAATAAAGTACCAAAAATTTTTGCCACCTAAAATATCCAGGCTTTCATAATATTATTTTGGCTAAAACCATTGGACCTTTTAAAAAATCGACACATATTTAGCTATTTAATGACAGTATACCTAATATATAACTAACCCAATATAGAAGCAGTGTAAAATGCATTTTAATGTAGTATTGTTATATTCAACCATAAATTTTTAAAAGATATTGAAATTACAAATTAAAATATTAGCAATTTATAAAATAAATATATGGTCTAGTTTTCTTTAAAATTATTGTTAACATCAAAACTCTATATATTATATTTTTATTATATTTTATAATTATTTAATAAATTTATTTTAATAATTAAAAATGCATATTATTATTAATTAATTTATATTTAATATATTTATGTTATTAAGCATAATCATATTTATATCAATTATTGAGAATTTATATAGAGTATGTGGTTGATTAGTATAAATGTTGCAATTATTTTTATATGTAAAGTTTTTATATGAATGTTATCCCAACCTTCTGTAATAGCCACATCTTCCATCTGTTGTTGTTTAATTTTGACATGTTTCAAACATTGCATTTATAATTTAATACCTTTAATTGAATTCTTTTTGCTTTTGGGGAAAAGGGTAAAATCAAATTTTCATCCACATTGATGATTCTTTTCCCATCCTCAGATATCGGTTAGTATTAAAAATGTTGAAATTACATGTAGCATTTTTTTAAGATATACTTAAATGATTTTAAATAATAAATAAAAGTTGTAAATTTTTTAACCAACATACCCAAATACTCACCATTTTTTAAAAAATTTAACTTGCTTGTCCACTTAGATGGGTGGGTATGGGTAGATGGGCTAAAAACCCACCCAATGCAGACCTCTAGTTCTGGTTTTCAGCCCTGAATAAAGTCATTTGAGTACAAATAATTAGGATTAATTAACAAAAAAAAATATTTGAACTAATATATTGCAATTAATATTGTAGTAGGTCTCATAAGATATATTAATATCATTAAGTGACTTACTAATTCATAATTTTCAGTTGCTAAAACTTTAGTCTTGATTTATTGATTTGGTAGATTTTAACATTAGTGACACTTGTTTTATAAATGATCTATTAATTTTTTATCATTAAATGTAATAAATATTATAAATAAATAATAGTAGATATAAAAACTTATAATGTAAATTTTAGCAAGATAATTGGTTTTCCTTTCTCTCCAATCTATAAGTTTATTATTGGTATAATCATAGACTAGAATGTTAGAGCATAAAAATAAATAAATTAGAAAACATAACAGTATACCTTATATATATTTTTCTTTAAAAGAGAAGAAATATTTTTTCTTAGAAAAAAAAGAAAGTGCTTTCTTACAAAAAACAATTTGTTAAAATTTTAATAAATATACTTTTGTTCATATCTTCTGATAGGTAAATATCTGGGCTCATAATTGCTAATAATATTTTGAATATCATTAATCAAATTAATAAAATAATTTTGATGAGAATCTAAACGTATTAAGGACTGGTAAATATCTATCTAATTATATAAGGAATATTATCTTGTATTTATTAAAACCTTCAATATCTTTGTAATGTTTTTCAATTTCTAATATTATATTTAATTTTTCTAACTATAAGTTTAATTTAATTATCATTTATTTAAAATTAAACTTCTGGAAGATATTTGCCTTCGAATTTATCCAAATTCGATATATATTTATTTATAGCCATAACGGTGTAACTAAAATGAGAATTGCCAGGTAAAACTGAGAATGGAGAGGTAAAATGAAATTGACAGGTAAAATTTATTTTTATTTTATAGCCTACCAATATTTAAAAATATAAATAAAAATAAATCAAATTATTCAAATTAAAATTATCTAAATAAATATAATAGAATATGGATGAAAGAATAGTCCATAAATTTGTAATATTTATAGAACAGATATATTTTATAGATTTAAACACCCATAATAAAATTTTAAAATTATAAATATATATCCGTTAGATGGCGTAGTATATAAATATTTAGTTTTTAATTAAAAATAATATGAATTATAGGAGCATAGTTTATTTGCTCTGGATTAATTCATTTTATACAAATTTATATAAATAGAAAATAGAAAATATTTGAAGTTATCATTATTTTTGCAGTTATGATGTCCATTCTCAGTTAGGTCATTTTTTTATAGATTTTTGAGAAAATATATATTATTTTTTTGACTTATTTTGTGTAAACTGAGCTGACTTATATAAACATAAAACGAAAAAAATTATAAGTTTCCATCATTATTTTTGGAGTTGTTGCATTCACAGCAGAGAGCGACAGCGACACGACAAAAATATATGTATTTACCAATGACTATTCATAGTGAGCTTTTGCGAAGCGATAAGACATTCCCGCCACATTTGTCGCACTAAACATAAAAATCAAGTTACAAATCATTTTGTTTTTTTTTCCATGTGACATAACTACAATATGGCCGAAAAAGAAAATTTTTGAAATGCTATTGAAATAATAAATGTTATATATATATATTAGAATATAAATAAATATTATATTAATAATTTTTTAAGGAAATCAATAAAGAAGATTTGATCAACTCCATCAGATACCATCAGCTGAAAACAATATTGAGACAGGTAATTAGAGAGTATATTAATTTGAAATATTTTTCTTTTGCAGTAGAGATGGCCAAATAAGCATGGAAAAATCGAGATTGCTTTATGAGGGAACATAAAAACTATAAAGCCAGGCAGTCAGTATATCAATTTGGAAAAAAAAAACAAATCCTGTTATATCTAAAATTGATAAAGCAAATATTGCCAGAGCAATGTATGAGCAAATGAGTGGTAATGAAAATTATCAATATGAAGATGGTAAATAATACTAAGCTACAATTTTAAGGAATGATTGTAATCATATTTTATATAAATAATATTACATATATTTAGCATAACCATCAACTAGTATAGGATCAAATTTATCTTGCAAAAAATAAATTAAAAAGAGGGATATTAATCAAGGTAATTTGCATCATTTCTAAATATATTTATAATTTTAAATTAGATCTATTTGAGCAAATTCTTGAAATAGAAAAAATAATAGATTATCAACAAGCTCTTGGATCAATGTTATGCTTGAGCTAACCTTTGCAAAAAGATTTGAGAGGGGAAAGAAAAAACTTATTAAAATTATTTTTGATTTATTGTTAAATTGTGATCATTAATAAAAAATATTATATTGCATTTTTCTTTGAAGAGCTTTTATATTAATCATATTTAAGACACATATAATACATAAACTTTCTTTTATTAAATAATTACAAATAAATATGGCCATGATAATTTATTTCTATAAAAATATTAAGAAAAGGCATCACTAATATCTCTTAAACCTTTGAGGGGTTTTTTATAGATTGAGGATTCCATAAATAATTATTTTATTTAGGATCTTAAGTATCCTTGGGGTGGAGATCTGTTTTCTTTATCAATAACCAAATTGTGTAATAGTGCATAAGTTTTTATAATTGTTTTGCTATTGGTAACATTGGTATCCAAGGCTCGATTAAGAATACACCATTTAGATGCCAATATGCCAAAGGTGAATTGCACCATTCTTCTGGCCCTTGAAAGACTAGTTATATCCTGTTCCCAAATATCTAAGCAATTTTGATTATTGTCATAATTGGGAGACTTTGATTTGTAAAATTTGATTTTTGGTAAAGTCAGTATGTATTGCATTTGATGAGTCATTTTTATTTTTATAATTTTATGTTTTAGTTAAATAGGTGAGTCATTGTTTTATGTTTTAGTTTAATCGCGTTAACATTTTATTTTTAGATTTATAAAAGTTAATTATTGTAAAGTCATTATGATGATGGGGTTTAATTATTTATTTGTGATGATTATTGCTTCCCTATAAAAGGGAAGCGAAAATTGTAAATTATCAATTCATTTTCTTTTTTGAATTCATTTTTTTTTTGAATTCATTCTTTTTAAAATAATTATTTTTTTTTAGTTTATAATTTTCATTTTTAGATTTTATTTTAAAAATTATATTTTAGAAATTATATTATAAAACTGAATAAAGTTTGAATAAAAATTGTTGTTTACTATTTCTGAAGAGGTTTAAAAGGATTTTCTATGTTATTCGAAATAAAAGCGGCACAACATAGTTGGTACCGTGACTAAATAGCAAAGGTAAAAACAATTATTTTTATAAATTATTTTTGGGAAAATATTTTTGTGGAGCGCTGTGGTGGATAAGACCGTCAATTTGTGAAAACAAGAACCGTCAAGAGCAAGTACCGTCAACGTCAAGGACAAGTACCGTGTGTAATAAGGGACCGTTCTAGTCAAAAGACCGTCAAGAGCAAGTACCGTCAAGAACAAGTACCGTCAAGGACAAGTACCGTGTGTAGTAAGTAACCGTTTGAGTCAAGAGACCGTCAAGAACAAGTACCGTCAAAAGAGGTGACCGTCAAGTGAAAATTTTCAAGACGACGTAGAGTACACGGAAGTGCTGCCAAAATTTTTGCCTATATAAATCTATTAGACGAAAATCCGATAATCTACTAAAAAGGTAGAGTACACGGAAGTGCTGCCCATATTTTTGCCTATATAAATCTATTAGAAGAAAAATTCGAAAAAGTTTATTAAAAGGCAACTTACATGGAAGTGCTGCCAAAATTTTTGCCTATATAAATCTATTAGAAGAAAATCCGAAAAGGTTTATTAGAAGGCAAGTTACACGGAAGTGCTGCCGATTTTTTTGCAAAAATAGATACACGAAAGAGTTTAAAAATTCGCGGAAAGTATTGATTTTTTTTTTGAAATTAATAAATGTATATGTGTATTATTGGAGTTTTTACCTTATTGATTTTATCTTATTGTCTGACGTTACAAGTAGTTAAGATATTTTTGGTGAAATAAATTATTAATTGTTTGTGAATATTTTATAAAATATAAATTTGCTAGATTGAGTTATTTGGTAAAATTTAAATACGTAAATATTTTAATGAAGAGTTTTAAAATTACAAAGTATGTGGAGTTGCAATATAATGTACTGGGAGCGGTGGTAGTGTTGATGATATGGTTGTGTAGTTTATAATTTGGAAGGAGAATGCGAAGAGAGAGGAGTATTAGGATTCGTGGGCAATCGTTGTTGGTAGAAGGGCATTGGAGAGGATGATAGATTGGGGAGAGTGACGTGGTTACCGGTTCAAGAAATTATGAAGGGTTGGGTCAATGAAGAAATTGACCGGTTAAAGAACGAAAGGATAGATGACAGACATTTGGACGTATACCGTGGACGTCAGGACATGCCGAGACCGTTCAGCAGTGGGGGACAGAGAGGTCGGAATGGTAGATGTTATAAATGTGGGGAGATGGGTCATATTGCGGTGAATTGTAGAGATGTCAAATGTTTTGCGTGTGGGGAGATGGGACATATTTCGACATATTGTCCGGGCAGAACAGCGAGAATACGTTGCGCGGATTGTGGAAGATTTGGACATGTGTTAAAAGATTGCCGAGTGGGAAAGGTAGAAACAAGGGCAGGTTTTCCACAGAGAGAAGAGACTTCGGGGGCCGTGAATATGAGGAGTATGACGGAGATAGCTGGAAAAGGAGGAAAGGATATTGAAGAGGAGATGACGTGTTTTAAGTGCCGAGAAAGAGGACATTGGGCCAGAGATTGTGATAAAGATTGACTATATGATGGGAAGGAGAGTAAAATGATGACCGTGGCGTTAGGAGGAGGCAAGAAAGAGTTGAGAGTTAAAATGTTGCAGCAGGAGGTTCAAAGGGAGTTAATGTATCTGCCGAGTCCGAGGATATGGTTCGATATCAACGGGAAGATGGTATCTATGTTATTTGATACCGGAGCAGCTATTTCGGTGATAGGATATGAGGATTTTAGAAGACTTTGGCCGGGTTGTAAAATAATTAGAGACGTTATGCAAGTGAGGCAGTTGGATGGATCGGAGATGGAGATGATGGGAAGAGTGCATATTGGGGATGTAGGGAGAGAAGGATGTAAAGTGTTGGATTTATGGATAATTAACCGAGACGTTGAGCCGGTGATGGGATTGGATTACAAGTGTGGGGCCGGAGTATGGATTTTGGGGAGTATTTGTGGCGATCGAAGAAGATATTCGGGAAGACTTGATAGAATGGTCCGAGAGGATGAGGAGAAGAGAATGTCCGGAGGAAATTTGGAATGGATGGAGGGCCGAGATAATATTGAAGTAGACGAGGGAAGATCCGTGTTTTGGGGGGAAGGCGAAGGAGATGGGAGGGAAGATATGTTGGGGAGAGGTGCGATTTATGTAGATGGAGAAATAGGAAATATCCAAGACAGTAGATATGGAGTATTGAAGCCGCTGGTTAGTGAGAGGAGTGAGAATTTTGTAGAACAGGGAGTTGTGAAAAATTTGTGGGAGTGTGGAGAGGGAATAAAGGGTGTCCAAAAGGAGGTGGAGAAGTTAGTGGAGAGGTATTTAGAAATATGTGGGGAAGAGTTGGGTTATCTAAAGGGTTATGAAGTGGAGATTCGGATGAAGGATGGATGCGTACCAAAATTTTGTGCTGTTCGTAGAGTACCTTTTGAATAAAGGCAGGAGGTAGGGAAGGAGTTGGATCGTTGGTAAAGGAGGGTATCGTGAGTCCGGTTGAATACAGCAAATGGGCGACGCCTTTGGTACCCGTAAAGAAGGCTAATGGGAGTTTGAGTTTGTATGCGGATTTCCGGGTAACGTTGAATC